AAGGGTGAGGGGAAGGGCAGGGACAGAGGGAAAGGGGAAAAAAGAATGTTTGCTGAGTTTCCATTAGCTAACAATATGAGTACTATGTATGCTAAGTCATTTACCGGGATTATCTGTTATAATAATCTTAATTTGGTGAGGGTACCCCGTTTCACAGGTGAGTGCGAGCCCATACCCTGGGCCACCTGGTTGCCTCCTGCCTGTGAGGGAGCTGGAGCAACAGCGATGTGTGAGCCAGTCTGTTTGCCCAAACACCCTGAAGATGCAGTCTGAGTCACGTGTCTCAGCCCATTACTTCTCATTCTAAGGTACATGATACAGTAAAGATGGAGTTCTGAGAATCTTCAGAGGGAAAGAAGCTGCTAAGAATGGGCAGACATAGGACAGTCCTGACAGCCTTTGTCTCCAAGGTTGGCAGAGAGCAGGGGCTCTAACAGGAGCCTCAGAAACGAGGCAGTGCCTTTGCCATTCCCCTACCCCTCAGACAGGCAGGAAGTGTGTGGAGGACAGAACGAGGTGGACCTGGTCAGCCAGACTTTGCAGTGGCATTTGCATGCCATGATTCCTCCGTCAGTCACTTCTCCATAACACTGAGTCCATCTGCCCTTGTACATGTCGTTTATGTGCCTGCTTGACTTTGAACTTCTCATAGGCTGGTGATCTTTGCTTATTTTTGCACCCTCTGGGCCTGGCCTCGTGCCAGTTCTGCAGCGGACATTCAGTACTGAATGAATGTGTTAGCATTTCTGGAACCATGTCCCTTGCCTCTTTCTCTGTGGAGTGTTTATTGCCTTATCAAATTTATATTTCAGCTATGCAGGCAGTTTTTTTAACAAATAGACATAAATAAATTATAGATCATCTGAACTGTCTCAGCATAGTCTATTTTGAAGAGTTAACACTAGCTGGAAATATATAAGAAATCCCTTAATACCATTTAAAAATAGGCAGACATAATTAACAAGGACAGGATAAAAATCACATGTTCAGACACTGGACTTGTTCGTCCAAATGTTAAATTTGTCGTGGGAAGTATAAACGGACAGACTTTGTAATGGAATTCCCTGAACTGTAATGCGTGCCTAGCCATCCCGTGTACCCATCTGTGATACTGAATTTGCATAGCCCAATTTCAGGCCATTGCAGTACATTTTCCAGTTTGTTGTGTTGTTCTCTCTCCAAAAACTAACAATGTCAGAATTCTTTATGTCCATCAGCCTACTTACTCAAAGAATCGTGAAACAGAAAGTTATCCACTATTAGCAAAGTAAGAAAAGAATCAGCTGTTCGGAAAACTGAAATTGAGATTCTCTTTTACTTCAGAAGGTTAGATGTGAAAAAATACATATGACTTTTGTAACCCACTGGCCTTTCAGCTGCAAAGGTCAAACAAGGATATCTGACTTCCTTTTTTTTGCCATTTGCTTAAATGCATGGAAATTGATGTTGTTTGTCCCACAGGAGATAGTATGCACTATTATTCACTGTGACCATCACATGGCAAGGTGGGGACATGATTCATGTTTATTGTCATCTGACATATTGATTAATTGAAAGTTAGCTATATGTCAACAGTCATATTCTATACATTGCAATTGATCCTGAAAATATGCTGAACATATTTTATTGCTTTGTAATCCAGAAAGCACCCCACAGACTTCCTAAACTTCTGAGACGTTATTTAAAACCACTTTAAGTTCTACTGATTGATGTGATAGTGCCACTTAATGGGAATTTCTTATCTGTAACATGCTTTCAGTATCTGTCTATATTCATAATTTTTAAAACAAAGCATCAAAGAAAAAATGTTTATGAAACTTACTTAGAGAGATTTTTTAGTCATTGCCAAGTGTTTCTCTAAGTTCATAGTAAGCCTTGGAACTACCTCCAATTGCTCTCGACAGGACTCCAAAATAGACATTTTATAATTGAACAGTATGCCATTTGAGAAGCTAGGAGGGAAGCCCATTCTCAATCAAGCACTGAGCTCACTGGCCAGATATACATTCTCAGTGTTTAATGAGACAGAGCAGCTAAGTGATTGGAAATATTGCAAGACCCTTTTGTATTTCTGCACTATCTGCTCCCACAGCCACAGCTGCCACTTTTAATTGTCCATAGCATTAACACTTATCCTGCAAAGCCAGGAATTTTAATATAATATACTGAAAGCCATTGTGTAGCGCCGCCACTCGGGACACTTTTCATAAGCAGAGGTAGGGGTCCTTTAGGCTCCCAGCAAAATACAGCAGTCCCCTCTTGTCCGTGGGGCATTTGTTCCAAGACCTCCAGTGGATGCCTGGAACTGCAGATAGTACCAAACCCTATACACACTGTGTTTTTTCTGTATATACATACCTATGACGTAGTTTAATTTATACATTAGGCACAGTAAGAGATAACTAAAGTAGTAATAAAATACAACAATTATAACAGTATACTGCAACAAAAGTGATAGGAATATAGTCTCCCTTTCAAAATTATCTTACTGTATCGTACTCACCTTTTCACTCAGAGGAAGCACTTTATGGCTTCTCTTTTGCATATCCAAAGTGCCATCATCACTACTCTTTCACCTCCTGGTCATTATTAAGTAACACACAGGTGACCTGAACACAAGCACTGTGGCACCAGTATGGAGACAGTTGATCTGATAACTGAGGTGGCTACTAAGGGACTAATGGTTGGGAGTGTGCGCAGCAGGGAGATGCTGCACGAAGGGATGAGTCCCACCCTGGGAAGGGCAGAGCAGGATGGTGTGGTGTTTCATCACGCTACTCAGAATGGCATGCCATTTAAAACTTATGAGTTGTTTATTTCTGTAATTTTTCCATTTAATATTTTCAAACTGCTGTTAACTGGAGTAACTGAAACCTGGATAAGGTGGGACTACTGTACAGGGAGGTGCACTGCTCCCAAGACAAAGGTCAGTGTCTCCATCAAAACTGAAGAATAAATTTAATCCACTACTGAGATTTTCAAGAAACAGCTGCATTCCTCCACTAAATCCATCCTACCAAGAAAATATACCAGAATTTCTACACAGTTCTTAAAGATGTAGTGCAGATTGTGATGGCCTCAATGGCATCTCATTGCTCAGGAGCCAGTAAGATTTTAATCAGAATCCTTCTACACTGACAGCCAAATTAGGTTGGAGCTATGCATTCTGTTGACTGGTACATACTGAAGGTGCAGCAAGAATATGAGCACAGGAGTTACACAGAGGACACCTTTGTTATGTGGCAGGAGAGACAGAGTGCCCAGATCAAAATCAGGTGTCGCACAGCCAGACCCTGAGCCCGAAGTAGCTACCATCACCACCTTTCACATCTGCTTCCCCCGAGACCTGAGGCAGGAGGAAAACAAGTATGACAGCACAGACGGAGACCAAATAGGTTACCAACTGTGTTGGTGTCACATGACAGTGATTCTTTAATATGTAGCATATTGAGAATTTACAAGCAAGTCAATATACGTTCCACAACAAAGTTTGCTTTAGAATTTTCCCCATTTATGAGCAGATCACCTACAGGGAAAAAAAAAATTTTCCCTTTACTTTCTCTCCCTCTATCCAGAGCTCATTTCAAACCCATTGCACAAAAAAGAAAAAAAAAAACAATCCATTAAAAACCAGAACTTATACACCTCACAGCAGCAGTCCATGGAACTACTGGGGGGCAACATGGCTCTTGTTCAGTAACAAATCTGAGAGCTATTGTGTACGCTGGAGTCAGATTACATTTGCATTTTGGAAAATATTAGGCATCTGTTTTGTTGAGTTGCTTAAAATTAGATACTTTAGAAATTAATGTGCACAGGCATTAATAATAGAGAATATCACCATTTATAATGACTGAGGAACTTTTAAATTGTAAAAATTGCACAGTGATATTATTAATATTTTTATCCTTTTGAAGATGACAAGGTTAATTGCTTTTCAGAGTGGTGAGACTAACTAGTTTCTACAGTTCCTACCTAAAGGGAAAGCCTAAGACTAGATTAACTAGGATTTTATGCTTCTAAAGAATTTCTCTGACATACTGTGGGGAAGTATGTGGGGAAAATAGGATTTGGTATGAAGTTAGACTATGCAAAGTCTTTATCTAGAGGAAAAGAATACAGAGAATTAACTTGGAGCCATTGTTTTGCCCTGCAATCTATAGCATTTATTAAATAATGACCTGTCTAGGCACTTTGTAGTGATCTTTCTTTTAATCCTCACCTGAAGATACGTTTATTGATTTTAGAAAGTGAGGAAGGTTGGGGGTGGGAGGAGGAGAGAGAGACGTTGATATGAGAGAAAAACAGGCATTGGTTGCCTCCTGTAGGAACCCCAGCCAGAGACTGAACCAGCAACCTAGGTACGTGCCCTGACCAGGGACAGAACCCACAGCTTTTTGGTGTATGGGATGGTATTCCAACCAACTGAGCCTTCTGGCCAGGGTTGTAATTAACATTTAAAGCTTGGTCTCTTAATAATTATTTTACCAAATTTAATGGCATGAGCTCTGTGGATAATTATTTTTAGTACTCAAAATACTATATTTACTGTGTTCCTGAAGCATTACCTATGTTTTTGGACAGTGTTTTGCTAGCTAACATCTTGACTGATTAAAAATCTTTTATTAACAAATACAGAACATAGAATTACATAGGTGTTCTATGCAATTGCCAATTGGGGTTATTGTGCGAAGTTATTTTTCTGAGACTACTTTAATAAAGCAAGTTGAGAAGTTTCTATTGTTGTGTTTGCTCTCACCTTTCCCAAGAAATAATCAGGATAGTGGATAAAGAAAGGATGCAAAGCTTACCAAGCTGTAGTATGTCTAGCTGCTAGATCTGTTGTGGGCCAGGTGGTGCTCTGGGGCCTTATTAAGACCCTTACTAAATCTTCTGGGAGATATACCATAAGTTCAGCTTGGGGGAATCTGTTGTCAAGGCAAACTGCAAAATAAAATATTTAGGCAATTGGAAGTAAAGCCAATTCTGTGATCTTTCAGGGCAAGGTCACTCTTCTGATGAACCACTTAAAAATGGAAAGAAGACTGCACGAAAGAGAGGAGTGATCACTGCGTGCCAGGCTCCAGCAGGTACTTCTCTCACTTGTTCTCCACAACATTCTAAGCGTTGTTATTCTGTATGACTATGAAGAAAATGAAGTACACAGAGTATAAATTACCTTCCCAGGGCCACACAGCTTGTACATGGCTAACTGACACCAGCGCTAATGCTTGGCCATTTCCCATGAAGGCAGTGTGGTGGAGTAATGTCCTGATAAGTAGTTTGGCAGCAGAGACTGTGGTCTCCAACCTGTCTTTAAATCTGCATGAGAAACACTTTCACCAGGGCTAGTTTGAGGCAAAAGGAAAGAGGGCAGGCCAGCCCCTCTGCCCACCACATTTATCTGTCCCCGGGGCACGGACACAGACTCAGGTGACAGATGTGTGTCTTTTCATCAAAGGTAACAAACTAGCAAAGTGCTCTCACTCTGCTTTAGAGAACTTGTGCCATGTGTCAATATTTGTGTTCTTTTTTTTCCATTTTTTTATTTAATTATTTTTCAAGTAGTTTTCTACCTTTTACTCCCTTCCCAGCCCACCCCCGTGCTCCCCACCTCCCTCCCATTTCCAACCGCCATAGCTGTTGTCCATGTGTCCTTCATACTAGCTCCTCTAAATCTTTCCCCTTTTTCCCCTGAAATTCCCTCCCCTCTCCCCTCTGGTCGCCATCCCCCCATTCTCCATTTCAGGAGCTCCTACCCTTTGCAACAGCATGGATGGAACTGGAGAGCATTATGCTGAGAGAAGTAAGCCAGGTGTTGAGGGACAGATACCAGATGATCTCACCTTTAACAGGAAGCTAAACAACAAAACAAACAAGCAAGCAAAATATTTGTGTTCTTTTACTACATTCTTACAGGAATTTCTCCTAAAGCACTCATCACAGCACTTACATTCCAAAAACATTCAAAATCTTCCCTACTCCAAGCACCACTTAAAAAGAAAAGCAGTTATCCCTTACTAGTGCTCTTGAGAAAACACCCAACTTTTGCTCAATGATGGTAAATTACAAAATAATGAACCTAATAAAGGATCATTCTACTCCAAGATCAGCCATTCAATAAACATTTTATAGAGCAATTACTGCATACACAGCACTATGAGTTTCAAACAGTCAGCCAAACTGTGGCTGTATCAAAGGAAAGAAATACAAAAGCATGTTGTTAGTTAACAAGCTCTGGAAAATCCTGGTCATTGGAAGTAAGATAAAAGCATTCACTGTTCTGTGATTTAACTCAAAAACTTAGATCTCTATTTGTATTATGGTTAGGACCACAAGTATTAGAGCTCACTAATTCATTTCTTTAATAAAGATTTATAGCCTTAGCTAGTGTGGCTTAATTAGTTGGAGCATCACCCCATAATCCCAAAGGTTGTGGATGTAATTCCTGGTCAGGGCACATGCCTGGGTTGGAGGGTTCAGTGACCCCAGTTGGGGCACATAAAGAATATAGCTGATTGACGTTTCTCTCTCACATCAGTGTTTCTCTTTGTCTTTTTCTCTTCCCCCTTTCTCTCTCTGTAAAAGCAATGAAAAAATTGTCCTTGAGTGAGCATAAAAATAAAGTAAAAAACACTTTATAGATAATGTAGTGCTTAACAATCGCTGTGTTAAACACTGGAGGACCTTGTTTACCAAAACCGGGAACAGTTCCTACCTCTACTGAATATTGCATCACATTCTAACTGGGAATACATATTAATCAAATGACCATATTTAAAAAATAGCAACTTGTACCTGTGGCAAGTGCTGTAAAGAAGAATTATATGAAGCTTTCATTTACTGTAAGAAGATTTAGTGTAATTGAGGAAGCTAGATGAAGTTACTGAAGAAGGGATATTTGAGCTAAGACTTAAGAAGTGAACAGAAAGTGATGTGGCAGAGGGAGGGAAGAAGGAACACGGCAGCAGAGGCAGCTGCACAGACCCTTGGGAGGCGGAACAGTAGAGAGTGTCAGGAACTAGCAGAGTCCGTGTAGCTTCAGTGGAGAGGGTGGGTGTTTGTGAGGACAGTGTGGTTCACAGTGAGCCTAGAGAAGTAGAGTCTGGTCTTTGTTCTGAACACAGTGGCAATGCATTGATGAGTTTTTAGCAGGAAGAGTGGGTTATAGGTTACTGAGCAGAGTAGATACAAGTTGATCAGTTGGAAAACTATTGAAATTTCTAGGTGGAGATAATAATGGCTCAGAGTTGCACAGTGGTATGGAAGAGATGAAGAGATTATATTCTAGATGTATTTAAGAGGTAAACATCCACAAGACTTGACTATTGGGAATGAGAGACAGGATATTAAGGACAACTTGGGCTCTGGCTGGTGCCACTCTTATCTATTGAGCATGGCCCTCTGAAACCAAAAGGTTTCTGGTTCCATTCCTGGTCTAGACACATGCCTGGGTTTCGGGCCAGGACCCCAGCTAGGGGCGTGTGAGAGGCAGCCCATCGATGTTTCTCTCCCTCTCCTTCTCCCTCCTTTCCCCTCTCTCTAAAAGTAAATAAATAAAATTTTTAAAAACAAAAAAAGGACAATTTGGGGACTTGGGCAACTGAAGAGGTAGTGGGGCCTTTCACTAAAGTTAGGAGCTTGAAAAGGACCAAATCTGGAATTGAGGACAGGAGAGGCAGAGTGTAAATATTATGTTTTAGAATGTGGAGTTTTGAGAGGCCTTTGGAAAAACAAAGAGGAAACATCTAGTAGCAGGTATATGAATCTAAGAGCCCAGAAATGAAGTTTGGGCTGGAGATTCACCTTTGTGAGTAGTGTGCATAGAGGTGGTGATTGAACTCCGGGGCCTGGATCTGATCACTTAGGGAGAGGATGCGGAGGACAAAGGGTGTTTCAGAAAAGCCTAGAACCAAGTCTTGAGGAACTCTAATGCTCAACAGCTGGTTCAGAGGGAACGGTAAGTCTTAAAGAGATAGAAAAAGAAAAGTCTGCTCAGGACGGTGGGAGGAGAGGCAAGATCAGTGTGTCATAGTGTCCAGAGAACATAATCTTATGTTAAGGAGGGAGGAAGGGTCCCAGCACTGAATATGCCAAGGGGTCAAGAAAGATAAAGCCTGGAAAATATATGTGGGAATGAAAATAAATTATCTTGGATTGAATGATGTTGAGACATTGAAGACACTAGTGAAAACTGTGGTGGAGTCAATGGTGAGGTCTGAGGGGCGGAGGAGTGAGTGGGACGTGTAGAACTGAAGGCAGCAAGTAAGGCCGCCTGTTCAGGAAGGCTGGCTGAGAAGCTCAGGAGGGTGAGAACCGGCAGCAGACCAGACATCTTCGAAGTCCTTTTATGTGTGTTTGTTTGTTAAATGAGAAGCACCTGAGAGTGTTCCAGAGCCAGTAGAAGAATCCTGGTGAAGCAAAGTGAATCTCCACAGGAGAAGGGATCTTTGAAGTCACAGCATCTGAGAAGGCTCAAGAAGATGGGATTAGCCTCAGGTGGGAGGAGACACAGCTTCTGTAAACAGGCTCAGTTTGGGGAAGACTACGACATTCTAGTTTGTGGCTTCTATTTTTTTTTCAGTAGAGTGGGCAGCCAGATCATGTGATGGGAAGGTTCAGGGATGGTTGGGGAAACCTAAATGGGAGGAGTTAAGGAAGTGGAGATTTGAAACTGTGTGCACAGAAAGTGGAAAAGCAAGTGAGCCAAAGAGCGCGTGAGCTGTTGGGCAGTGCCGAAAGCCTCCTTGAACTTGGTGGTTATGAATTTACAGAGGGACTAGCCTACCCTATTATGATGTCTCTGCAGGCACAGAAAAAGCAGGTACCAAGGAGAAAAAGGAAATGTGAAATATTTGCAAGACATAAAAAAACAATGTCTACAAAATTTAAGCAGAAAGAGGAGGGAAGTGAAGAAAGAAGGGAACAATTGGGGGAATGAATCACTTGAAGATCCCCATGAGGTCCAGGAGCTCACTTGTTGAAAGCTGACTGATAAAAAGAGGTATACCAAGTGTAATGGGTATAGTCCCCAAAGTCACAGAAGCTTGTTAGCTCATGGCTGGAGAACTGTCCTTCTTCCCTGGGGCATGACACTGGACCCAGGCTCCACAGGCTGCAGTGGCCAGACTGATGGCCCCACAGTGCAGGCTGACCTGCCTTGATGGCAGTGGCCTCCATTTTCTGCCATTTACGACCACATGTATGGGCCAAGCTATTTCAACTCCACTGTAAACCTCAGTTTGCTCATCTGAAAATTGGGATTGGCCATGAGGTCAGTCTGGGGTTGTGAGAATTGAATAAAGCCGTGGGTGTAAAATAGCACAATACCTGACTCCTGATTGGGAATCCATAAAAAGTGTCAGAAGCTACTGTTGTTGGGGTTTTTTGACACACATTTTTCTAGGCAGAACACAAGTTTTGTGTTTGTTTTTTTTTTAGGAGTCAAGGCAAAAAGATATTTTGAATTTTATAGAGGTGGCATGATGTGTAACAATATTATTATGTTGACTTCATCTTTTTTCCTGTGACTCTACACCTGAGAGTTGCAAGCCTGCGGGTCAGCCGGGGCTGCCAGAATGGAGGTCCAGCTCATCCTTAAATAGGGTGTCTTAGGTGCGTGCTACCCTTGGGTGGCTCTCTTTTCCAGACTAGTACTAATTTTGATTCTTTTCATAAACCATAAAATGCAAGATTCAGGTGCTAATTGATTTATGCTACTCAAAGGGCTCCTTGCCTCAAAAGAAATACAAGTAAAAAGTTCACACTTTTAGGTTTATTTGCTTATCTGCAACCCTCAGATAAGGGCCAGTAGCTCATTTGTTTGGAGTGTCATCCCCATTACTCCAGAGCCAGGGTCCTATTTATCTTTGAATATACACACTCCCCGGCAGGTGTTCAGTAATTACAGCACAGAGTAGACTCTAATCAGTAAGATTTCAGTTCTGTATTGGATTAGAGCAGAGTTTCTGCTCGCCTCAGCACTATTGACATTTTGGGCCAGATAATTCTCTTTGTTGGGGGCTGTCATGTACATTGCAGGATGTTTAGCAGCATTCCTGGCTTCTACCCAAGAGGTGCCAGTGGTCCC